ATCTGGGCTGCCCTCCAACTGGAGGCGGCAGCCACCCTGGACGACCATCTCTGAGCGGGCCAGTTCCCCTGCACTAAGGATGCCCCGACTGAGGCTTTTCCTGCTTTACCAGTCACCCCGGCCGTGGCCGGCAAGCTGGCCCTGGCACCTTGCTGATGCTCCCTATGCTTCCTGATAGTGACACCGGTTGTCCCTTTGCTTTTTTGTCTCGTAGAAGTCTATATGCCTGGGTGGTTCATGTCCGCCATGCCCAAGTGCTGGTGGGCCGCCCCAATACACCATGGCAATGGCGCCTGGGGCCGCCAGATTCCCCACCAGACCACCCGGCATGGCACACATTGTATAAGCTGCCAACCGCCAAGAAGACTGACGACCTGCAGTGGCGGTTGCTGCATGGCATCCTAGCCACTGGCACATTTGCATCCCACTTTGACCCAGCCACCTCGACAGCCTGTCCCTTCTGCCCAGGGGGTGTTGAGGAGACCCTCTTTCATGCCTTCCTTGACTGTCCTCGCCTGCAGCCGCTTTTTTTCATTCTCGGGCTGCTGCTCCAGGCGCTGGGCAGGAGCTTTTCGGAGACCACCTACGTGTGCTCCTACCCGTACCGGGTGGCTGAGAAGGGCCCCATCTGCCTGGCCAACTTCTTACTGGGTCAGATCAAGTTGGCCGTCCCCAAGAGCTGCCGAAACCGGCTTGCCAGGACCGGCTCAGATGATGCCCTGCAGCTTTTCCACCTCCTTGTGCAGGCGCGCCTCTTGCTGGAGTTTGAGCATGCTGTGCTCTGGCGGGTGGTGCCCGCCTTTGAGACATGCTGGCCCTTGAGGGAGCGCTGTGCCATGTGGAGGATGGCCATCTCAAATACGCGCTCTGATGTCATGACCGGTCTGGGTGACTGGGCTGGCTTGGTGTCGGACTACAGCTTCCAGCTCGTGCCGCATCCTGGGCACTCACCAGGCTGCTTTTTTGCTTTCCTTTTGTGTGGGAAGTTGAAGGTTTTGTTACATGTATGACTGGATGGAGCAGGGTACGAATTGTTTATTTATAGTTATGACCGTGTGGCTGGCACTCTGACCACATAACTAGCATGTAAGACACGATGTGGCATGTAGTGAGGGTGTCTGTCATGGTGTGATGTGTTGAATGCAATGACATAGTGTTCTTGGTTTGATAGTAATTTGTTTGTTTTTTTGCTTTGTAAGTGGCCACCCTTTTTGTATCCCTGAACCCCTGAATAAAGTAGTTAAAAGTCAAAAGTCCTTCCTTCCTATAATAGAAAGGTGATTCTATCTCCCAGGACCAGATTTGAACTGGTGATAAGCAAAAGCATCCGCATCCATTGCAAATCACTTAAATTTGCTTCATTCTATAGTATATTATTTCCCAGCAGCAGTTGGGATATAAAAATCACGAGAAAAAAGCAATAAAAGTCTACTACAAGTAACATCAATATAATGCTGTTTATTCTTTCAATATCTTTCATATCTTAGTGAAAATTTAATGTGCAGTATTCTTGCTGCAAAATTCATAAACAGCCTGACTAGGAGGTGATAAGGGGTAGATTAAGTGAAATTCTACATAAACCTGAAGTGAGGGATGTCAGAAAAACACAAAGCATCGTTTCAGTGGTATTGTAGTCTTTGTATGTCTAGCATACATTAAAGGAAAAAATGCCAAAGACATTAATGTCTTCTAATGTGATTGTCTAATTAAAGTATGGAAGTATGTATGACTTGACACCCATCTTGCAAGGATAATAAAACTAGCTGTGTCACAACATAGAGAAATGCATTAGTTTCTTTTGTCTCATTCAGGGCACATCTACACATTCATAGTTTCATAGTTTCTAGGGTCGGAAGGGACCTGAGTAGATCATCTAGTCCG